ATGATGAACGTTTTGTAAGCCCGAGAAACGGGAAGGCCCATGAGGGTGGGGAATTTCCAAAGAACTAGAGAACAAGGAAGCAGATGTCTTTGGGTAAGGGTCATGATTAATAATCAAACTCACCGGTGAATAAGAGGAGGCGCGTGAAAAGCGTGGCGGCACGCACTCTCTCTCTCTGAGAGGCTCCTGACTCTATCTCTGCATCTTTCTGCATCTTTCTTTTTCTTCATCCTCACTCCCCCATTCAGGTACTGTTCGACAAGTGACGGCTGGCTCCGTCACGGGTGTGAGGACGCACTGCTGGTAAGTGACAGCAGGTTCAGGGGCTTTCAAGACCTGGCCAGTTGTGTTTGTGTCTCTTGGTTGGCATCTGTTAGTGCTGTCCCTTCTGTGAGGAGGAGGTAAACGTGGTGTGCATGGAGCAGCACCCGCAGCCTGAGCTCTTCCTCAGCTCAGTGACCTTCTTTTCCTCTGCTGGTGTCTTCTGCATGCAGGAAATGTGCTGAGGAAGCTCCTGCTCCTAGGGTGTGGGAGGATCCCCAAGTCTAGGTCCAAAGGGTGGAGCTCTACCTATGAGCAGGTTTGTGCTCAGCCATGGCAAGGTCTTCTCGCCTGCACAGGAGCGACCTGGGTCTTCCACCTGGGATGGGGCAAAGACTATGATGGTGGCTGCCCTGTGACAGTCTGGGGAAAGGAATCAGGCTGTGCTTTGTGTGGACCTCACCTCTGACCCCAAAGGCTCACCATTCTGTCCCTGATATTATAAGATTTTATGTGGGGCTGGGGATGTAGCTCAGTGACACAGTGCCTGCCTGGCAAACTCGAGGTCCTAAGTTCGATCCCCAGCATCCAAAAAAAGAAAACAAAAGATTTTATGTGAAAGTGAACATGTATTATGCAATTATTTCCCTGTGTTACTATGAATTATCAATTCTGCCAAAATAATCAACCATTATTTTGGTAATGATGTGAGTAAATTCATTTGTAAAGACTTTGAAATATCAGTTGAGAAGTTTTTGCACTTATTAGTAATCTATTATAAATATAAGCTGATCTTAATGCAAATCTAGACTAAGAACAATCAAAGCTAATAGAAAGAAAGACGTAGAAGGATTTGGCTTTGCTATTCTAAATAGATGAAAATTGAAATTTGTTTCATACATATTAATCTATATACATAAATAAAGTCCTTTCCATTTTCTACATGTATGCTGAGATTTCCTATGGAAATAAGAGTGCTTCATGCCCTTCATTTCAGTAGAATGAAATTCTTAGGTTTGGAAAGAGTACACATTGTCCAGGAATTATAAAAAATATTCAGGGATAAATATGAATTTATTGCATGTGTATTGTGTACATCATTTACACATTTATCTTAGATGAATAATGAATTAGTAAACAAGGAGAAATAGAGATACTTGACCATGGATGGGAAAACGCACTATTGTACATCAACCTATTTTTCCTCAAATGTCTTAGTTAGTTTTCTGGTTGCTGAGACAGAATAGCCAAAACCCAAAGTTATAGGAGGAAAGGTTTATTGTTATTGGGCTCACAGTTTGTAGAGGTTTCATTTCATAGTTGGTTGGCTCCAAAGCAGGGTGGCATGGCAGAGGTACATCACAGAGGAGAAATAGTCCACAGCAAGCAGGCAGGTGAGAGCAAGCAAGGCACTTTAGCAGCTTCTTTCTGCCTCTTTTATATTCTATCTAGGCTACCGGGATTAGAGCAGTGCCAAACCAATCAGTGGACTGATTGAGCAATCATACACACTTAATCCCAGCATTGCATGCTCTAGATCCAGCCTTCTCTGCAAAAGCCCCTACCTGTGACTGCATGAGGCTTTGAGGGACATCTAGACACAAACCATGACACTAAATTAACCTATAAACCTCTTAACTATATACGGAACACCTGCTATCCTAAAGGTACTGAGTGGAGTGCGGTTACTGTGCAGGCTGCTTGCGGGGTGCACCCACTTCCTGCTGGGGTTTCAGGACAATCCTGTGCATGACCCTCTTCTGGAAACCAGCTGCTTAACATCCACATGATCCCTTCCTCTGAACCAGTGGCTCCCTGAAGTAAGATTTTCCTACATCCATTCCTGTTTTGCAGATATGAAACAACTATCTTCCTTAAAGTATAGTCTGACAATAGGTGTAGTGTCTTGTTCATCTGTCAGAATCTAAAGGGACAAAGGAAAAGCAGGCATACTTCTGAGGAGTGGCATAGAAACTCCAAAGTACGTCTTCCTGGTGTTTAATTAG